GATGATCTCTAACATCAACCCATACTTATGTTTTTGCTGCAGACACAAGTTGCTCAACTAGCAAAACTCCCTTATTATAACACTAAATAAAATATTAAAAAAAAAGGAAAAGGCCATTTTGAACAGACAGGGTTGCTGTTTCGATGAGGCCTGAACTTGAATAAARTCTCTGTGACTTGAATTGCTGCTCAGACTAGCCGTCAGCTCATCAATCCAGTCAGAAATAAACTAAAGCTCCTTGAATTGCCGTCTGCAGCAGGTAAGATATTAAYTGTTCATTCCCTTTCTGTCAAAACAAACTTCAAAAGATCGGCATAGTTACTTTACACTTATTAATTCCAGAAAGTAAAACTCTCCTGAAAAAGTTGAGCAACAGYTGGTTTATAGTAAATAATGTGTTTGTTCTTTAGCTCCAGCTTCGTTGAAAACTGCTTTTGTTTCGATTCTCTTCATTGCTGTTGTAATGAAAAATGAAAAACAAAAGTGTTTTTTTTGCAAGAGTTGTTTCACTTTTGCCTGTAAAGTGACCTACCATATTTGTATTAGTGCACAAATGTAACCAAATGAATAGACAGTATTTACACCTGTGATGATGTATATTAGTATATAATGACATTTGTAAATATATTAGAATAAAAYTATTTTTTTAGAAAATACTGCTTGTGCAGACATTTAAGTGAAGGATTTTTTCCTCTGATGATCACAAATGCCTTCAGTAGATGATCCAGTTTGTGGACTGTTTAATATTTCAACAAACTTGTGCTTTTTTTATTTATAATCAGAACTATGCCAAGAGTCTGGCTGTTGTCTCAGAGACGAGCCACCCATGAGGCAATCCTTCCTGTCCCTATCAGCAGTGTTTGTGCGTTACTCAGAAACAACAGCTGCAAGCCGAGCAGTTTCTGATCCCAGGCCAGCTGCTTTTGTCCTTCAGCATTCAGCTACAATAAAGAGACGACTCTGCACAGAATCCCACACGTCCACCTCTGAAAACCAAACACTGAGCTTCAGTGTCTTCTTCTGCCAGTCAATGAGCTGAAACAAAGTTACTGAACGGCTCCTCGGTTTTATGTGAATGTACAAAGTACGGTGTCACACGATATTCTTGTGATGTAAAATATGAGCACTATATCACTAAAAATGTTTTGTATGTTAACATGATTCATACGGTTCACCATGTGATGTCATAAACTAAATAAATGTATTTTGTACTGATCATACAGGAAGACTTTTCTGTGTTAAAAAATATTTATTATCCAAGGCCTAACACTCATATCAGTGGCTCTGGTATTGAGGAGAAACGAAAAGTGAAAGACTTCAGTGGCTTTAAAAAGACACAACACAGGTCGTGTTTAGGAAATGAAATCAGATAAAAGTAACAACRATGACACAAACGATGGTTTTCACAGGAAAGCCACCATGTGAAAGGACTGGTGCTGCTTCAAAAATATGAGACTGTGTTAAAAGGCTAATGGGGAAAAGAAAAGCTCAGTTTTCCCAGTGAGTTTAATTTGACTGCTAAATGTTGAACCCAGGAGGGACACAATTAGAGAGGTTGTTGTCAATTCATTTAAAGGTCATTGAAAAAAGTTATCGTATCTTTTTGCTTGTGTGGGTGTTCTTTCTTGGTATGTCAAGTTTTTGTCCCACAGTCCAGAAACAKGAATATTACTGAATCTGAATTGGCCTCAAGTTTGTGTGTGAATGTGTGTACAGGTTTTTGTTACCTGGTGAGGACATTTTTGGGGTACACACAGCTAGGACCCACTGTCCCTTGCTGTGGGTGGTTAGGTTTAGGATTAAGTTATGAATTAAGCTGTGGGTGGTTAGGTTTAGGATTAAGTTATGAATTAAGCTGTGGGTGGTTAGGTTTAGGATTAAGTTATGAATTAAGCTGTGGGTGGTTAGGTTTAGGATTAAGTTATGAATTAAGCTGTGGGTGGTTAGGTTTAGGATTAAGTTATGAATTAAGCTGTGGGTGGTTAGGTTTAGGATTAAGTTATGAATTAAGCTGTGGGTGGTTAGGTTTAGGATTAAGTTATGAATTAAGCTGTGGGTGGTTAGGTTTAGGATTAAGTTATGAATTAAGCTGTGGGTGGTTAGGTTTAGGATTAAGTTATGAATTAAGCTGTGGGTGGTTAGGTTTAGGATTAAGTTATGAATTAAGCTGTGGGTGGTTAGGTTTGGG